TTGATTTTTCTTTCCATAGGGTTTAATAACACTTTAAAGCCCAACTCTGACCATAATGCTGCAGATTTTTTAATTTGGCTCCGCCCACACAGCCATATCATCCATTCACAGATCCTTTGACAGTCCCATCAACCACTTGCGATAGAGAGACTTGTAATTCTCAATGGAATACATGTGTGGTGACGTCACCACGCTCGTGATCCATTCATTCTTCCTCCTGTCCCTGTTACTGAATGTCAGTACCTCAGTAAGGACACTGACGGAAGAAGAGTCCGCAGGAGTCAGAGCGTTGCACCCGCCATCCACTGATCACAGTTGTAATACTTTACTGGTTCAATGCAAACAAATAAGATATTCAATTTTTTTCTGATATAAAGATGTGTTTATTTATTTCTAAAAGGTGGAATTTCCCTTTAATTTAACTCTATGCACAACAGCGCAATGCCGACCTGCATTGTTGTGTGCTGCATTTTTTATGCAACACACTTGCATGATGTGATCAGGGCACATAGAGAACGCTTGTATTCTCAGTGTCCTTGCATTGATCTGCAATAATGCTGTTAGTGATCTCTTATGTTAAAGAAGGGCATATAGAGAAACGTACATTTGCAGTGGGGCTATCACGGCACTGCAAGGGTTAAGTGCTTGTTTTGTCTAGGGGGCTCAAATAAAGCTGCATTAGTCACTTGATCCCCGGTCCCCACGGCTCCTTCAGGGCTCCCAGACCGATCCCTGCAACCTCTTCTCCCCTGGACTCCGGCAGTCTAAGACCTTGGACGTCATCGCTTCTTCTGCAGGTCAATTGACAAAGCAAGCACTTAACCCTTGCAGTGCCGTGGTAACCCCACTGCATAGGTGCGTTTTTTTATATGCCCTTTTTGAATGTAAGAGATCATTAACTGCATGATTGCAGATCTATACAGGCTCAACGTACGGACACTGAGAAAACAAGCGTTCTCTATGTGCCTTGATCACATCATGCAAGTGCGTTGCATAAAAGATGCTGCACACACCAATGCAGGTCGGCACTTTGCATTGCACTGTTGTGCATAGGGTTAAATTAAAGGGAAACTCCAGAGCTGGGGATCAGATAAGTAAATCTGTTTTATTTACGTCCCCCAGACAAAACGAGCATTTAACCCTTGCAGTGCCGTGGTAGCCCCCCCCCCCGTGCAAAGGTGTTTTTTTTAATTTGCCCTGCATGTTGCATTATCCCCTCCATTGATATTCAGCCCCTGTGCACATGTTGTCAGACCCATGCAAAGCTCACCTTTGAATGCAATGCCGGCATTATTGATCAGCACATCCAGCCCTCCATACTTCTCCTTCAGGAAGTCCCGCAGAGCTCGGATGCTGTTCAGGTCATTGATGTCCAGCTGGTGGAATAGCGGGGACAATCCTTCCTTCTCCTTCAGTTCTCGCAAAGCTTCTTCTCCCAGCTGAGGGTTCCTGGCTGTCAGATAGAATCTCCCTTGAACTGCTTACACAATGACCTGACTATAGCCAAGCCTATTCCTTTATTGCTCCCTGTGACCACTGCTACTCGCACTCCAGACATGCTGAGAGTTCCTGTGTGCAGTCCTGCAGGTGATGGACAGTCTATGACACTGAGCTTCTGCTGATCTTGGAAGGGAAGCTCTAGGATTGCTCAGCTCCACCCAGCAGAACAAGTATGGACCCAACCAGACACTAGAGGGGTGTCTGCATCCTGCTGCTTCTGTCTCCCATTAGCACTTTGCTGCTGCCATCTAGTGGTCACAAAGAGAACTGCAACAAGTCATGGAGAGCACAAACTTCTGCAGGATGAAGATGGTTACTGGGCCTTTAACGTTTTTATTTTAATCGCGCAAATGTTACAACGCACATTTTAGGCCTTTACTTAAAACCCCCCAAAACATTATGAGGGACGATTCAGTGTAGCGTTTGTGACAGGTTTTTTTTCCGGTGTTAATGCTGTCCAGTTCTTAATAACGACACTTTTACATTATATCGCAATGTCTGCGACAAATTCATAAAGAAATAACATCATTTTAAAGTTACGAAAAATTATGGTAAATAAGACCAATGTTATTTTGGATTAAATTGTGGGTGGAGTGTCCCCTTACCACCAACCACACTGTTGGTTGCTAGCATGCTGGTGGCATCCCAGCATCCAATGACACTCAGCTGCACATGTCATTGGTTGCTAGGTGGCCAGCTTCCTAGCAACCAATGAGCCGCCGGATTCCTTTCTATTAGCCCCCCCAATGTTATCTTTGCACAGACTGCGCTCAATCAGCTTCTACCACCACCACGGTCTGACAGCTGTGAACCCTAAAAGCGTAACTGCAACCTCTTTACAGGCACGGAAGGTGCCATCCTGGCCTATTTGGATTTCAGTTGCCTTGGTGCTGCACATGTGATCAACTTTGGTGGCTGGAAAGTTTGGTCGAGAGCTGAAAAAAAGCACACTGACGACCTTGATAGTTGGCATGCCCTGACAGTAACAATTTTAGGAGCCATTAAATTGGTGGGTCTAGATCCACCTGAAGTGCTCAGAGCTGACCGTCTAGGGTTGCCACCCATCTGGTTTTCGCCCGAACAGTCTGGTTTTGGAGTCATGTGTCCGGGTGTCCAGCCAGTGGGCACCCTGACAAGACACTCTGAGCTGCGGGCAGCCTGTGCCTGTTTACAGATGCCCACAGCTAGGAGGAAGGTCCAGTTTCAGGCAGATGCGGCTGTCTGAGATCGCGCTTGCCGGGGACCTCGGCAGCCGCATCTGTCATTGCCTTCTCCTCCGACACCATGCTGCCTGCCTGTGGACCCCTGGTGAGATATCATAGTCCCGACAGCCCACCTGAGAGTCGCACAGCCCACCTGAGAGTTGCATAGCCCACCTGAGAGTCGCACAGCCCACCTGAGAGCCGCACAGCCCACCTGAGAGTCGCATAGCCCACCTGAGAGACACACAGCCCACCTGAGAGTCACACAGCCCACCTGAGAGCCGCACAGCCCACCTGAGAAGCACACAGCACACCTGAGAAGCGCACAGCCCACCTGAGAGTCCCATATCCCACCTGAGAGTCCCATATCGTACCTGAGAGGTATGCAGTTCACCTGAGAGGCGCACAGCCCATCTGAGAGTCTGCACAGGCCACCTGGAGACATCAGAGTGCCGATCCTGAACAACACAGAGTATGTAGCTTCATATTATTTTGTATTGCTGTAAAATGTATTGTTGTAGTTCTCTATAGCCGGTCTCCTTACTCCCTTCCCTGGCTGTCTCTTCTTGCTCTTTCTCCTGGCTGCCTCTCCTCGCTCTCTCCTCTATATTCTCCCCCCAAAAAATATTGCCTCGCGCGGCGCTAGAGTGTTCGGGTTTCACTTGAAGAAAAGGTGGCAACCCTATGACCGTCTGCGGGTTCAGACTACCCAGGGTTCGTCAGCGAATGAAAAATGACAGCTAAGAGGGGATTTCCGTCACATCAGGAAGGTATCCTCCTAATTCAGGGGTGGAGAACCTCCGGCCCCCCCAGCTGTGGTGAAACTTCAAATCCCATGATGCATCTGTCTCTGGGAGTCATGTGTGTGGCTGTGAGAACCTTGCAATGCCTCATGGAATTTGTAGTTTCACCACAGCTGGAGGGCTGGAGGTTGCCCAGCCCTGTACTAATTCATTCTGAGTCTACAGCACAGGATTTGAAGGTAAATCTTCCTAAAGAGACACAAATGAATAACAAACTGGCAGCAGTTTTAACCCTTACGTGCTCAATCCAAAGTGAAAAAATAAAGTTGGTTTTGGATAAGCTTTAACCTTTTCCCTGACTTCCATAGTGCAAGGGGTGATGTCAACATCCAAATATTGCAAAATGGAACTTGTACAGTTGTGTCTTTTTACTAGATTTTGCCCACTTGGCATTCCCTTGCCTAGGCACCACTGGCGTAAGGTAAGTATAGATACTTCTTCCACTCCCGATTTGAGATAGGGGGATGGTGCGGGTCCTTAATAAATAAGCAGACCTTGCAATTTAAAGGCAGGTTCTATTTTCACCAATCAGGTTTTCTGTATGAATCCCTCATGTAACTGGGGGCCTGGTGGTATAAGATAATTCCACTATAAACTCTTACAAGCAGCGTCTTCATATTTATAAATCCTGTAATAGTTGCATTATTCTGTCAGGACTGCTTCTTGAACAGTGGTGCAGAATACTGTACATAACACTAATAATAATAACAGCACATTTTTATCATTGTTATTATGTTTCTTGTTGCTCTTGCTCCATTGCCAGTCTATGGAAAGAAATCTCAGGAAAAATGGCTGCCCTCGGCACTGAGGACAATCTAAGTACAAGCAGGAGGAAGGCGGAGTTACTAGTGTCAGTGATGTCATGATTAATAACCAATGGATACCCGCCCTTAGAGCAGCAATCCGGAAGTGGAAATGTGTCTCCGACATGTGGGCTTCGCTCTCTGTTATGTATACAGTGAATGTGTATATATAAGGTAGCCGTGCTGTGGTTGTGTGACCGAGTATGTGTCCTCAGCACTCCACCATCAGAAGGGATATAGCCTGTCAGAAAGGTACACTATGCATTGGTGGTGGTTTTGCTTTTTTAATATATAAATAATAACTATTATGCACGTTGCCTATCAAACTTTGCACATAGCCTCTGCCATATACAAACATACATTACTTTTACTTGGAGAGACCCTGTTGCCAGACCATTCATTTCAAAACGAATCTTCCCATTATGTGCATTTAATATATTGTGTGCATATTGGAGAATTTTTCCAAATCAGCTATGTTGTCCTAGATTGTTCACTACCCCTGCCTTCTCCAAACTCTTCACCCTTTTGTAAATAACCCGGATAGAATTCTTGTCCCTTCCCCAAACTGTGATTGGACAGTGAAAGGAGAAGCAGCAGGCTGATTTGCACATCCGGCTGTCACTCTGCTCTCTCTTTCCACTTTATCTTGTCAAATATATTTATATAAAATCTGTTCTGCATTTTAGGCACGTCAGTGGTTCTTCTATGTGGCGTCCATACATCTACGCCGTAGACTCGATATGAAGCCAAATAAAGGACGCACAGGCCGATGGAGGAAACGGAAACACGTGGCGGTACCGGCAGGTACAATGGCAGGGCTCAGTTTTATTCCATAGAGTCATTGTAGCCAAAGATTTTATGGTGGCCAAAGATCACATGATGCATAAGGGTCATACGATCCATCACATGATGCATAAGGGTCATACGATCCATCACATGATGCATACGGGGCATACGATCCATCACATGATGTATAAGGAGAATATGATCCATCACAGAATATAGCTGACACCTGACTGGTCCTATGGACATCCCCATTCCCCACTATTGTTTGGTGCCCTATGACTTGTATATAATGAACTATGCATAGCATGTTGTTTCTTGCAGTGAATCAAAGCTGTGACATCCGATACGTTGAGCTGAGAAAGTGGCTCAAGGACAGGGGCTTCCATGATAGCCAGCTGAGGACGGCACATTTCCCAGGTAAGGTTATCAGTTGAAATCAAAAACAAATTCTTCAAATGGTTTAACTTGTTGTTGCAGCCTGACCATGAAATGAATGGACTCTGCAGGAAGCATGGGGTTGAAGTGAACCTGCACTTGTCTTATGGGGGGCAAAGCAAAATGTTCTCTTTAATGCTGCCCTCCCAAGCAGCACATACTCACCTTTTCCTCACCCCAACCACACCATTCAAACAACAATGTCCGGGCAATCATTCAATTGCAGGGATAGGTAACCTTGGCACTTTAGCTGTGGTGAAGCTGCAAATCTCATCATGTCTCTGCATCATGTCGTGGTAGATAAACGGCTGAAGAAACGTAGATCAACTGTCTGTTTTTACCACCCATTTAATCAAGGCCTTAAATGAGACTGGAGACAATGGGGAGATGGCCATATACAACTCTATTAGGGCTGACATAGCCCGCCGCAGCTGTCGTGCTCAGGTAAATTCAGCTATGTTGTCCTAGATTGGTCACTTCTCCCGCCTTCTGCAAACTTGCAAACTCTCCACCCTTTTGTGAATAACCCTGTAACTCTTTAAATCAAGGGTAGGCAACCTCGGCACTCCAGCTGTGGTGAAATATACAAATCCTATCATGCCTCTGGGAGTCATGCCTTTGGCTGTCAGAGTCTTGCAATGCCTCATGGGACTTGCAGTTCACACAACAGCTCTAGTGCCGAGTTTTCCTACCCCTGATATATTGTTTGGGGTGATCTCTCCCTGTAAAGCTTCTAAAATGTTGGCCGTTGTTTTTTTTTCCTTTTTAGATACGGGTAGAGGTCTGATGACAACAAGTCTTCTGCAGGTTTGTGGTTAATATAGTCAAACTATTTGGCAGATGTTTTATCTGTTTCTATTCTTTTTAAAAAAAATATAGCGTGCGCATTATGACCGGATTTATGTACACTGCCTTCCAAATTATTGACTTCAGGTGCGCAAAGCTCTATAAATACATGGCTTCAAGCAGAACTCCAGGAAATTTTTCTATTAACCCTTGCAGTGGGGCTACCCCATGCACTGCAAGGGTTAACTGCTCATTTGTGTCTAGGATAAAAAAACAAAAAAAGACAAAGATATACTCACCCAAAGCTCCGAACTGGCTTCTACTTAGAGCGGTCCCTGGAATGTGTCTCCCCCCTTCAGTCGAAGGTCCAGTAAATCATCACGTCTACACACTATGCATAGGTGTGAGGACGCTGAGGAACATTCCAATGTGCTGCAGAGGAGGGGACTGGCTGGAGGGACCACCATGGCAGCTGGCTGGCTCGGAGCTTTATGTGAGTATAACTTTGTTATTTTAACACACAGACACAAACCAGCACTTAACCCTTGCAGTGCGGGGGTAGCCCCACTGCAGGGGTTAATAAACAAAAACCAAAACCCAGCAGTTCTTCTTTAATGAATTTTGTGTGGGGGACTCGAAAAGCCTGTACAGAGCCCTAACCTTAACTCTAGTGAACACCGTTGGTATGAATTTTGGAGTCATCTTTAGTACCTGAGGTTACAAATGCTCTTTTGGTAGAATGGGCCCATATTCCTACAAACACACTCCAAGATCTAATGGAAAGCATTCCAAGAAGAGTTAAGGCTGCAATGGGGTGAACAACTTCATATTAATGACCACGATTTTGGAATGAGATGTAGAGCTATTAGGAATGAGTCTGATTCCTCTATGATCCTCAAACAACCATTTTTATTTGGTAAGCTTTGAAGACTGAAGTTTAGATGGCTTATAAAATCTCACCCGGTCTGTTTGTTTCTTCTCAGCCGGGAGATATGATAATTTCCTTACCAGAGTCCTGTCTCCTCACCACGGACACGGTCCTGAAAAGCTACCTTGGTGATCATATAAGAAGGTTGGTATTATAATGGCTATCTGCGGTGTATTTTAGTTTCACTAAAAACGTAACATTTTAGTATATATGTGCAGTTCATTACATGTTATGTACAATATCTTTAGAAATCCTGGGGGTAAGGGGCAGGTGGTAATACCAATTACTAGGGATGCACCGATATATCGGCCGCCTAAATATATATTGGCCGAAAGTGCCATTTTCCTGCCGATACATCGGCGCATCCCAGGTTTCTTTCCTCCCCGCTGAGCACTGCTCTGTGTCCCAGCGGGGAAGAGAGAAGGTGATAGCCAGCCGAGTGCTGAGGGAGGAGAGAAGGTGACAGCCGGCCGAACGCTGAGGGAGGAGAGCGCTGTGAGCGTCCAGCGTCTGAGCGTCCGGTGTCTCTCCTCCCACACCGCTCAGCCTCCTATCACAGTCCGGCAGAGTGGTGTGGGGGGCGGAGACAGCCCGCGCTGTCACAGGAGGCTGAGCTCTCCTCCCTGCTCTGCTCACTCAGCCTCCTGTGACAGCTGTCAGAGAGAAGAGCGGGTACAAACACTCAGTGATCAGTCATCGCTGAGTGTTTGTAGATAATTGAGGACATGGTATGTGTACTGTAATTTTTTTAAAGTTTATAAAAAAGAAATAAAAATAAAATGTTTAATAAAATGTGAAAAAATTAAAATAAAGACATTTTCGGTTTCGGCCTGACAATTTTTTTATTTCGGTTTCGTTTCGTAAATTTCTATTTCGGTGCACCTCTACCAATTACCCTTAATTTGTGTAAAGGAAAACTTACACTTTTATTTCCATCATATGCCCCATACACTTTCATGAAACGCTTTACTGCAAGAGTCTAATAACTTCTAAAGAACCTCTTTAGCTTTTCCCATTTGAAATATCAGGGCTCACGCGGGGCCGGATTCACCATTAGGCAGAGTAGGCACTTGTCCCCCATAGAGGGGCGCCGTGCAGGTACCTACTCATAATTCCCGGTGTTGTGTCAAGATACAACATTCTGCACAAAATGCACCCTTCTGCTCCAGGACCAGTGGCACGTACAGGAACCACCGGCTTCTGCAAACGCAGGAGAAGGACCCCGGGACTGTGCAAGGCTGCCCTGTAAAATGCCTGTCTGACAGAAAAGGAATGTATTGTGTATATGTACAGTGTGTGTGTGTATGTAT